TTAAACTTTTCAGCCCAATTCAGCAAAAAAAAAAAAAAACTCCACTTCTTCTTGTAATTTAAGCTTCTTTCTGCTTCTTTAGTTACTTTAAAGCTGTTTTTTTTTGTTTTTTGTTTTTTTTGCTAATTTCAGCTTTTTTCAGATAATTTCCCCTTTTTTTTTTGGTGCTAATTTATATATTATTAATATTTCAGCCTAACTGGGCAAATGTGTTATTTCTGCATTCTTCTGGTAATTTAAGTTTGTTCTACTTTTTCAGCTAACTTTTTAGCATTTTTAACTAATTTCAGCTCTTTTCAGAGAAATTCAAGTTTTTTTTTTATTTCTGCTACTTTCTGCCTAAACTACTTTATATTAATTTCAACTTGTTGCTCGTTGCAGCTTTTTTCTGAGTTTCAGCTTTTTCTTCTATTTCAACTACAATTTAGCAGTTTTTACTAATTTTATCTTTTTCAGATAACTCCACACTTTTGGATCTCCTTTCAGCTCTGTCCACTACCTTCTGGTAGTTTAAGCTTATTTCTGCCTTTACAGCTACATTTCAGCTATTTTTTGCTAATTTCATTTTTTTAAATATAATTTATTAACTTTTGTGCTAATTTATGCTTATTTAAACCTAATTCAGCAAATATGTGTTCTTTCTGCTTTTTTCTGCTAACTTGGCTTGCTCTTCATTTCAGCTACATTTCAGCATGTTTTAGCTCATTTCAGCAGTTTTAGCTCATTTCAGCAGTTTAAGCTCATTTCAGCAGTTTTAAACTGTGTGAGTTTCTGCTGAAATCACTTTGTAGAGATAATATTAAATAAAATCTTAACTATAGGCTACAAGTAAAAGCAGCATTTATGCTTATGGACTTATGGTAACTTTGTTAGCATTTTAAATTCATTCAACCTTTATTTATTCAGGTTAGTCTCATTGAACCTCGATGACTCATTTACAAGAGAGACTTGATTTATACAAAGAACAGAAGAGGTACAGACAAAAGTAGACAATCATATAAAGGCATATAAAATGATCATCCATTCGTCATTCATCTATCCATCATCCATCCACCATCCATCCATCATTTATCCATCCATCCATCATTTATCCATCCATCCATCCATCATTCATCCATCCATCCATCCATCGTTTATCCATCCATCCATCATCCTTCCATCCATCATCATCCATCCATCACACACTTTTAGATTATCTTCCATCATAATCCATCCATCATCCATCTATCCATCCATCCATCATCCATCCATCCATCCATCATCCATCATTTATTCATCCATCCATTCATCATTCATCCATCCATCATCCTTCCATCCATCCATCCATCCATCCATCCATCCATTATCCATCCATCATTCATCCTTCCATCCATTCATCCATCATCCATTCATCATTCATCCATCCATCATCCTTCCATCCATCATCCATCCATCCATCATTTATCCATCCATCCATCATCCTTCCATCCATCCATCCATCCATCAATCCATCCATCTATCCATCACACACTTTTAGATTCTCTTCCATCATAATCCATGATCATCCATCCATCCATCATTAATAATGTTTATTTAACCAGGCCAATCAAATTGAGATCACAGATCTCTTCTACAATGGAGGCCTGAAGGCAGACTGTTTTTGGTCTTTGGGAGGAAACTAGACTACCCGGAGAAAACCCATGCAAGTGCGAGAAAAACATGCCTTCTCCGCACAGAAAGACCCTAGTTCCAACTGGGGACTGAACCCAGGACCTTCGTGCTGTGAGGCAGCAGTGCTAACCACTGAGCCATTGTGCTGCATCATCCATCCATCCATCGTCCATCCATCCATCAATCCATCCCACACTTGTTGGTTCTGTTCCATGATTTTGATTTATTACAAATATTAAAGTATCAAGTAGCTCAAACGTGTACAAAAGTTTGGGCTATGACAACTTTAAGCTTTTAGCTTAATGTTTGTTCAGAAATTTAGCTCTCCTCTTTTCCTTTTATATTTTTCTGCCTGGGACTCAGTCCTTCCTGTACATTTTTTAAAGTGATCTAAATCAATTCATCCATCATCTTTGGCTTGTTCTGGCGTCGTGTCTCAGGGGCATCAGCTTGAGCAGGGAGGTCCAGACATCTCTTTCTCTAAGGGAGAGTCCAGCTACTCAGTGGAGGAAACTCATTTTGACTTCTTGTTTCAGAAATCATTATCATTTGGTCACTACAAACAAACAAAACCATATTTTTAAAACTTGGTCCGGCACTTTACTGAAAATATTCGAAACAGAGTGAAGTCTAAATAAAAACTATTTAATAAAAAAATTATTAAATAATTCAATTCACTTCAGTTTAATTATATAGCACCAATTCACAACAAAGTTGTCTCGGGGCACTTTACAGGAACATTCATGTACATAGAAAAGACAATTAGTAAAGTTCTCTATGTAAGGACGCAGCAGACTCGTTGAATCTTCACTTCGTCGCAGTCTCCCATCCTGAGCAAGCACAAATGCAACAGTGGACAACAACTGACCTAGTCCAGCCTAGACGTGATAAATGCATGGACCAGCTTTTCTGCATCATTATTTCATTTATTTATTAACCTTTATTTAACCAGGCAAATCCTATTGAGATCACTCATTATCATTATGCAGATAATGATGGATGGAAATAAGGAATGACTTAAGATTTTTGCACAGTTCGTACAGTAATATTTTTAAACCAAGCTTCTGTAAATGTAGAATATTTACATCTAAACCACTGATGCTTTTTAGAAAGCTTGAAAAGATTGAATCTGTGCTATATGTTGTAAATATGTGTACATTTTGTTTGGCTCAAACAGAAAAGCTGAGTCAACATTAATAATTGCATTTTGAATAAAAAAAATAGTTGCTATAATATTTTAATGTTTTCATATTAATTTCTCCAGCTCATCCTCTCCTCCTTCAACACGTCCATGAAATCTGCTCTTTGTTACCTTCTTAGTGGCAGCTCCGTGTTTGATTTCCTTTGTCCAACATGTCCACTGTTCGTCCTCTGCACATGTCCAAACCATCTCAAGCTTGCCTCTCTAACTTTGTCTCCAAGGAGCACTAACATCATGTTGCTGTTGCGTCTCAGTAACGTATAAAACAAACTCGGTGCTTGTTCTACTCTTCCACGCGGGCACTTCCACTTCACTTCAAATGCTAGTCCTCTACCAGAGGCCTGGGTTCTGAAAGTTCTGTTCAGCATCTCAGCTGTTCCAACAACTGCACTCTTCTGGCCAGAGATCTCTGAGGTTGTTCCAGGGATTTGTTGGATCCACTCTTCCAGTTCGGGGGTCACTTCACCAAGTGCTCCAGTGACCACTGGGACTACTGAATCTTTGACTCCACAAATTCTTCTTTCAGCCCTTGGTGTTTCTGCAGCTTCTTGTGCTCCTTCTTCTTGATGTTACAATCACTTGGATTGCTACATCTATCACCACTTTCTGACATTCTCCGCCACATTTGGTGGCATCTCTCACTTTGACTGTGGGATCTTCAGTCCATACTTGGCACAGATGTTCCTGTATATTATTCCAGCCATTTTGTTATGGTGTTCCATGCATGGTTTGTCTGCCTGGATCTTACATTCTGCGGGATGTGTTGGACTGTCCCAGGGGCGTCTTTGCACAGTTGGCATCTTGGGTCTTGTCTGGTATGGTAGACCACGGGCGCTATTGCTCTTGTGCTGAGGGTTTGTTCTTGTCCTGCCATGATTAGTGCCTCTGTGTTGTCCTTCAGTCCAGCCCTAGCCACTCAGCCACAGCTGCCCCAAAACCGCAAAATATGTAAAGTACAAAAGTGACGGATTACAGTTAGAAGAATATTCTCTCGTGGTAATGAACGTGTGTTTAGTCAGAGTGAAGGATTGTTCAGATACTGGATGACTTCAGCAGGTTAACAGTGTGCTTGGATGACCTGTCTTGTTTTTCTGAAGGCAGAGTTTGTGAGGATGGAGTCGTGAATGAAGAACGTTTCAAAGGACGTCCTGATGCATACTCAATAATCCAGGTTGATCCAGTTGATAGAGTCCAACTGTCCCCCTCTTACAGTTCTGTTATTGCTAGTATCAATCAGCCCCCTGTGAATAGCAAGCGGCCATCAGGGTACTAACGACCAATTGTTTGGCTGATGGTCCTCCTTTATCGTGTGAACAGCTAATTCACATGATAAAAGTCCTTCAGATGAAGGATGAAACATCTCAGCAACAAAAGAAACTGTCCAGATGTCCTGACTGAACATTGTTGGATTTATACCTGGATTAATGAGCATGAACTTTGGTGATGTGAACAGCTATTTGTGGCTGTCGCCAGCAAACTGGTTGATCCACTATGAGAAGGTGCTGTTTATAAGACTGAGTTTGTTGCAGCTCCTCAGACTGAAGAAGTCTTTTGGATAAAAGATGAAAAATTTCAACAAGAATCCATCCAGAGGACTTGATTCTACCTTGTGGCACAGTTTCAAAGAATGTTCTTTACTTTGTTCTATTGTTGTCTTACCTGACATCTTGCATGCCAAAGTTTTCAGCAAAGATGTGAAATCACTTAGTGCACTAATGTTGGGGATTACTCTCAGCTGCTACCACATTCACTTTTAGCTCAGCAGCTGTTCAACTGACTAGGTTTTAGAAAAATCAGTATGTTGGTTCATGAAATATTTTGCTAACAGACAGAAAAACACACACTGCCCTTCAATGGTCAGAAGTCTGGGTATAAATGTCCTTTTTGCTCTACGGTGTTCCTGTGCAGAGGGCAGATGAGTCCGACCCGTCCTCTTGGTGATTACAGGTGTCACTAATGATTCCAGTCAAGCAGCTCTTTGCTGCCGGTGTTACAGTGATCCTCTTAGCCTCTCACAGAGAAAGGAAACTACGTCTGCAACAGGTCAACAGCACACCTGTAATTTCCACACAGCCGCTGCTGTGGGCCCGTTACTGCAGTTGTGAGTTGGTTGCCACGGGAACAGACGAGCTGGAGGGTAGCAGGTCGTCTTGTGAATCAGACATGACTCTGCTTGACTGTGGCGGAGCCAGAATCTCTGGGTGCTGGTCGCTGAGGTAAGAATCGTCTGACGGGCGTGGAGGGGAGTGGGCGATGTCCCTCTCATGAGTCTGGAAACTTCACTGGTTTGGTTCAGAGGACAGGGTTTACTTTGAAGTTCTTGCTGTGAAACCTGGTTGAATTCCCTGCTCTGGGTCCTATTTAAACCTGCAGCATCTGAAGATGCAGCACTCATTAGTCCTCATTTTCATTCACGATTTCTCTTGATTTGTTCACACATGCAGTCATTGTGGTTGAGCATCAAAACAAGCAGAGTGCTCAGTTTCTAATTCTAGCCTAGGGATGTACTGCTGTCTCTAAATGTGTCTGTGGAGGACGTGATGCTAAGCTGACTCCTCTGTCTGACTGGAACAGCGCTGTGGCCCTCGTGTACCTGATCGTGTCCCCTAGTGCAGGCAGGAGGATCCTCCTCTGCTTCAACACTAAAGTACTTCAAGTAAAACTTGTTCACAATAACTTGAGGTCTGGGAGGAACTCCGTCCATCCATCCATTATCTTTTACCTGCTTCTTCCATTTTGGGTCAAGGGGGTCGCTGGTGCCCATGTCCAGCAATCACTGTGCGAGGGGCGGGGTACACCCTGGACAGGTCTCCAGTCCATCACAGGGACACATAGAGACAAACAACCATTCACTCTCTCACTCACACCTAGGGACAATTTAGAGTTACAAATCAGCCTAACATACATGTTTTTGGTCTGTGGGAGGAAACTGGAGTACCCGGAGAAAACCCACGCATGCACGGAGAGAACATGCAAACTCCACCCAGAAAGACCCCTGGACCGGGATTTGAACCAGGGACCTGCTCGCTGAGAGGCAGAAACTCTACCAGTTGCGTCACCGTGCTGCCCCACCTGGGAGGAACTATTCAAATCAAAGCCATGCAGGCAACGTTTTGTTTGTGCCCACCCAGTGATACAATAATGTTTAAGAAGCATGTTTTTTCTTTTTTATACATAAAGATTTTGATGATATTTACGATTATATATTCGGTTCTAGGGGTTGAACGACTACATATTTTTTAAAGTCAACATTAACATGATAATAGTTGAGTCGACCTCTACTAGTTGATGACGTCATAGGAACTCAAGACGCAAAAAAACCCCAGTCATTTATTATTTACAAAAAAAAACAAAAACACTGAAACTTCAGGAGCGTATATTTATGCTCTTACCATTTATCATAATGCAAATAACTCACAGGAAAACCAAAACTATTATGAAGCTGCAAAAGTTAATTTTGTTTTATTTTATCCACTAAATAAAATAAACTCTCCCCAACTCTACTGAGAGACAACAGCTCTACCAACTGAGCAACTTTGCCACTTTATTTCAAACCTACTGTATCCTAATTGAAAGCTAGCAAAACTTAAAATCAAAGTAAAGTTATCATCATTTAATAACTGTCCTTTGTCGCAAAGCGACTAGGGAGACTTGGTAATATCCTCCGTCCATCCGTGCATGTTGTGAGCGCAATAACTTCAAAAATAAGTGAGGTACAGACTTCCATTTTGGTGTGTGGCTGCACCTAGGCATAAGAAACGTTCCTTTTTTTTTAAACTGGGTTGCCACATCAAGATTTAAGATGGCTACTGTCAAGGGAATTTAGGTAAATATTTCAGGATGTTTATCATGTTAAATTAATGTTGAACCATTTGTGTGAGGTCAGAGTGTTCTTTTTCTCACTGAGAGAATAGCCTGCAGGCACCTGACGCCTCTGAGTCTAAAAGGTCGAGGTCATCGTGTTGATAAGCAGTGTAAAAAAAAACACTTCCTGCAAACTGTCCAGTTGCAGATCTTCACGACCAGGGCTTCAAGGTAACATCTGTGTAAGCCTGGTGAAGTCTGCCCTTGCAAGTAAACTGGGTTTTAAAATAATCTTCTCTTGTCTTTGTGTGTGACATTTTTTAAGTAAGTAGATAATGAAAGGATATTTGTCCAATAGCTACCACCATAAATTTTCATCTTTAAATCACTTCTTGGTCTGTTGCCTTCATACATCTCCTCCTACATGTCTCTGCGTGAGTGCAGCTACAACGTGCGCTCTCAGGACATTATTACCTGCAGTGTTCCCTCAGTGGAGACTGAACTTGGCAAAAGGGCCTTCTCCTACTCCGCTCCTGTTTCCTGGAATATCTTACAAAAAGATCTGAAGCTCTCGACCTTGACCTCTCTAAGTGACTTTAAACATCTGTTAAGTTCATGGTAAAACCAATGCAGACATGTTCCTGTTTTTAGTTTTCTACATTCGCCTTATAATCTAGCTGTTTTTTTGCTACTATTCCTCTTGATTGTTCTTTTGGTTGCTATTTTGTTTTGATTGTTTTGATTTGTAAAAAAAGAAAAAAAAAGAAAAAGAAACTTAAATTTCTAAGCCTATGCCTATTTTATGGCGGTCTATTGTTGTCGTTGTTATTCACTGTTGTCATCACTCTTTGTTAAGAAATCAGGTCTCTCTTGTAAATGGATCCCTGCGGCTCAATGAGATTAACCTGTCTAAATAAAGGTTGAATGAATAAATATCATTTCAGGAAATTATGTATGTTTTCTAGTTTTTATATTGTTCAAAAATATAAGTTCCTCAAATGATTAGGGGTGGCCAAAGAATAATCAGTGGTGGTCAAGGCCACCAGTAGCCACGCCCTGACTCCACCACTGCACCTGTTGGTGAATGAAATTGCATCCACTCTCCAGGATCCGTCACACCACTCCACCTTGGACACACAAAAAGAACCTACCTCTGTCCTGCTACAGTGTAACTCCTACAGACTTGAATATCTGTCACCAAAAAACATTTAGGTTTACTAACATTACCTGTTAACTTCCAGCCCAGAAAAACACTCATGTTGAAAAGTACAAACTGTCATTATTGAAATCCTTCAGCAAGGTGTGGGTGGGGACGTCGGTGTACCGCCTGTTAGTTTTCTGAACTGAACGGTAAAGCTCAACAGAAGAGTTGAGCCTCGGTGAAGCTCAGGTTCTCATACATGAACCGTATGAAGAGGGAATGAGTGTGTTGTGTTTTTCATAGCAACCCCTGAAGTCAACAGCAGAGAGACTTTAATACAGCCTTCTTTGTTGCTATGATCCAGTTTGTCTGAAGCCTCTTTTTGTTGGGGCCTCTCAAATTTGTGTTTAATGAAAATAAAACACGAGTTTTCTGCAGATCGTGTTCCTGCAGTGACCTCGGCTCAGAGTGCTTATCATGGGATGTAAATCTGTACTGTTGTGTTCTGGTTTTTAGACATGATTTGAGATTTGTCCTAATCTTTAATACCTGGTCTTGTAATTTGCACATTTGTGTTTTTTCATCATAGAAAACACAGACCACACAGTTCTCCACTGAAGACTGCTCTCCCATAAGGTTTTGCAGCTCCTCAGTTTAAAGTTTATCAGGCTGTAACCTGTCCTGCTGTTGGTTCTGCTGCAGGGGGAGCGGCGAGGACTCGTTGGACCGGCTCCTGCCGCATGCCGGGGCCCCCCGCAGGAGAAGCACCACCTCCCTGAGTAAAACAGAACCTCCCCTGCTCCGCACCGGCACACGCACCATCTACACTGCTGGACGCCCTCCCTGGTATGACGAGCATGGGGCTCAGTCAAAGGAGGCCTTCGTCATAGGTAACACACCCACTGATCCACTGGGCTGGTTTATCTGTTTCTAACTACAAGTTAACTGTCATTTTGTTGCAGATTATTTTACCCATAAACACTTTAGAGCAATGGCACACTAACAGACAACACTCTGAAAACACAAAGCTTGATGCCACGACATCCTCCTACAGTCAAATCTCTCTGGCCGCACTCCATTCATCCAACTCAAATCCTTCAGATCACACTCCTGCCCCCCATCACTTTAGGTGTGCTCCCCTGGGCTCTGTCCTGGGGCCCGTCTTTTCATCACTTCCTCCCAAGCTATGTTTACATGGACACAAGTAATCGGGTTAAACGGCCGTTCGGAATAAAAATGTGTCATGTAAACGCCCCGTTCGAGTTACTTTTTGTTTATTCAGCACGATCCGAAATAATCTGTGATCAGAAGAACGAAATGTGTGTTTTTTTAAGGAGAGTTTACCACTCTGCGCATGTCAGTACTTTTCAGAATAAAAGCCCGCTGCATGTAAACGCTCGCCATCGATGGATTATGCCCATATTAACGATACATTTGAATTGTTTAATCTGAAAACGTTTCAATCTGGTCAAAGAATTTTGCGCATGTAAACATAGCTACTGGTAACATTTTTTGTAACTTCAGTATCAACTTCCATTGTTTCTACTCAGCTCTTCTTATCCACCACACCAAATGATTCACTTCCACCCTCCTCCCTCACGTTCTGCTTAACTGAAATCAAATCCTGGTTCACATCAAACTGTCTTAAATTAAACTGTGTCAAAACTACTCATTGGTACTAAATCCACCCTACCCAAAGTCAAGAGTTTTTTCCTCACCATTGACAGCTTGTTGGTTCCTCCCCTCAGGTTAAGTGTTTGAGTGTCATTCTTGACAGTGCTCTCACATGAATAAAATTACCCTATTTGCATATTTCCACCTATGAAACATCAACCAACTCCACCCTTTCCCCCTCCCTGCACTCTGCTTCTTCCTTGTTCATAGTCTTGTTATTTCCCATATAGATTATTGCAACTCTCTCCTCTTCAATCTGCCTCTCAAATCCCATCAAAAGCTTCAAATGGTTCAAAATCCAGCTGCCCGCATCATTACCAAAACTTTCACCACATGACCACAGTCCTACAGCAACTCCACTGGATTCATGGCCATCCACAGCCTTGCCCCTCCTTATCTGTTTAACTTCCTGCACAGCACCACTCTATTTTAGGTTCTTCACTTCAGGTCTCCTAACCCTAACCCACTCGCTCCATTCTTCCTCTAATGTCCACCTCTCTGTGCCCTCTGTCTGGGAAAATAAAGCTTTTTCCCACTCCCAACTCAGGAATTCTTCCTCCAGATATCCATAATATTATATTATTTAATATTAGAGGGGGGGGGGGG